AAACGCTCTTCGTGACAAATATACACGGAAAGAATGATTTTGTTGAAAAGTCTAAAAATTTTGCTAAAAACAGATTTGAAAATAATTTTTTATTGAATCATCAAAATAATTTGTTGGAATGTTAAAACTAATAAGCATTGCTATAAAACGTTTTGATATTCTAGCAATCACTTTGGCTTTCGCACAAAATTATTTTGATTATTGAACAAAAATTATTTTCATATCTAGATTCAGCGAAATTGTTCTTTCCGTGTACGAATACTTATATATTACATATCTTTCGGAACCAAGCAACTTTTGTTTGAAACATTTTTGGGTGAAATGCGAATTTTTGAAGTATTTTAATCCATTATTATAAAAATGAGATATCGTGTATAAGCGCTACAGTTAATATTGAGCAATTAGTTTTTGCATGAAAAGTCATCTTTTGGTATCTCGAATCAAAATCCAAAGTATAAAATAAATCGGTGTCTGACACTTGAAATAGTTTACTTGTGAGAAAAAATTTTTGGTGACTACAATTTAAAAATTTGTGTGACTGTAATTGTATGGTAATAATTATAATTAGGTAGAAACTCTATTTTTATAGTTATTAGTTGTAATGCTTTTAATAATTATTATATTTATAATTCCATCGAAAAATATATACACTGCTGCAGTTATCAGCAAAAATGGCTATATACATTGTAGTTAAATTATGCAATCGCAATCAATTTTTTCCCCTCAAATCGGTGTAGATAAATAAATATGTAGGATTAAGATTCTCACCGGAATTGTAGCAATTCTCTCCACATTGAGACGTGAGCTCGGCATCTCCTCTTGGCAAGTACGCGTGACCGTTTCGCACGTCGACGCGAAGATGTCCACCTTCGAAAGTGCGAAGCTCGCGAGATTTCTTCATCGTCGAGCCGTAAATCGTAGAACCGTCCAGAAAGTGACTCACTTGGTTCATCTGCAAATGCAAGAATTCACATATAATTGCGGTAAAATTTTAAATTATAACTGAGCGATCTATTAAAATCAAGTTAATTTTCTTATACACTTCCTTAAAAGCAAATAACATTTTAACATCTTAATAAATTTCGCTCTCGTTGTTGTAAATATTAATAAATTAAGTAAATTTTACAACCAGTTATATATTGCTCGTCTTTGGCCGTACATGTCTTATTAAGTTTCAATTCGATATAGATGACAAGCGCCTACCTGTTCCACAGGTCCGAAAGTACACTCCGATCTCAAGACCGGCAACGACCGAACGTAATTCATGCACCGAACGTAATGCTGGCCGTAAACGGGATCGCGATCGGGCACTCGAATCGGGGAGCAATCGGGATGAACGTGACGCGGTGACAGAGTGTCTCCATCCGGCTGGCAGCAAGATATTGGTTTTCCCGTTGAGACTGTAATTAAGACATATAATCTTTTTAACGACTTTGTTACGTCAATGAGAGTTATCTTTGGAACCGACGTATATCTCTAACTGATATTTACTTCGACTGGAAGAAGCATATAAATAAATTTTTAGTGTCTGACCTCAGAGTTTACAGCTGCAAGGACGATGTAATAATTTTTCATGAGTTTACGCGTTTTTGTAAGTTACGCAATACACGGATTTGTCGACTTCCATAAGAGAGAAGAGTTACGATATTTTGTTACGAAATATATTTAATTTAATTTAGTATTGTTTGTAATATTCCTCAGTCTATCCTGATACTATAAATTATTATTAATTTATGATACTTAATTTAGTTTAATTTATTGTGTATCTACAAAGTTAACATTAGATATGTATATATATTACTTAAATACGCAAATGGTTAGGAATCAGCAATGCTGTTAATTTAAGGCCTAGAAAGATACAATATAAAAATGTTAGATATAAAACGTTTTTTGTGATAAAAATAGAAATGTTTATATATCACAGTTATATCACACTGCGAGAAAAACGTTTAATATTTGTGACTGTAATTGCATGGTAAAATAATTAGAAGTTTTATTTTATTAAAACAAAACACATTCCAATTTGTTTAATTGTAAGGCTATACCAAATCGCATATCTTTTACGTGATAAATTTAGCTTAATTTATTGCGCATCTACAAAGTTACCATTTGATATGTAAATTACATAAATTAAGTAATTACGCAAATTAGGTATCAGCTGTTAATGCTGTTAATTTAAGGCCTAGAAAGACACAATATGAGAACGTTAGGTATAAAACGTTTTTTGTGACAAAAATATAAATATTTATATATTACATTTATATGCTGCAAAAAAAACGTTTAATATCTGTGACTATAATTGCACGACAGAGAACAATTCCAAATAAAAACAGTCCAATTTGTTTAATTATAAGGCTATATCAAATCACGTATCTTTCATGTAATAAACGAGAAGTTGGTTCGTACGTTAAAATTAGTTGCTTACAAAAATTTACCCGCACAGGTAAACACTTACCCATCTTACGAACTGGGGTGTGAGCGATGTCATGAGCGATGAATTGGCTCCATTCCATCACGGCCAGTGTTCGGCTGGCGTCCGACTGATCGTTCGCGGTGGACAACGCGGTGCTCACGAGCCTCGGGTTCGGCAGCGGTTTCTTCGTTTGTCCGACACGCCTCGGTTCTTGGATGCCTGCTTCCCGAAACCGTGCATTAGATCTCTGTCGCGTCAACGACACGAAGTCGCAAAATCGGAGTAAATCGGTGCTATAGTACTTTATAATAAACAACGTGAGTGCAACTCGGTGCTCCTGCCGGCAGATAACCCGCGAGATATGTATAGGATAAATTATATAGCCATCGCGCGGGCAAAATCATGACAGAAAAACGATACGACGCGATATGATACATATATACACTGAAAAAAAAGGCCAATGGTTTTGATTGGAAATAACCGTTTAAGTCCTTTTCCGATCATTTTTCGATCGGTAAACGGATCGGATACAAAATAATCATTTCCCTTATCCAATGAAATGTGATTTCCGCGGATAAAATGTGAACGGAAAATGAGCCGCCATATGCTTATTCGGTAAAATTTTGAAGGCCAAATGGACAACTAGATCGGATTTTATACTTGAACGGATATTTTATCCGAACAATTGTAATGTTCGATCTAGTTGTCGGTTTATCCTATGAAATTTTCAAGTCAAATGTGATATCTCCCAGGAAAGCCTCCTTTTTTCACAATCAATGCTGTTATCAGTCTTCTACTTGAGTTCGAAGAAGGTGGACGTGTTCCGTTTCGGCTCGAGTATTGCATCATTTTTTTAACTCGACGACGAAACCTGCCGGATGTCTTATCCGTGCATTGTAAGCTTGGCAAAGTTTATCTCTACTTGAGGGGACCAAAGCCATTATAGAAAAAAGAAGAAGAAAGTGATCAATATATTTCCGATGAACTAGTAATCGGATATTTCTCTTGACATTCCGATCAATATATTTCCGATGAACTAGTGATCGAATTTTTGATCCGACCATGTTGCTCGTAAATATCCGTTTGCTACTTTTTAAAAGGATAATTCGATCTTTTTGAACGGAAAAAGCTTGGAAATTTTTTTCAGTGTGTATACGATTCTCCGCGACTCGCAAATCGATTCAGCTAAACAAACAGTCGTCTTCGTATAAACAATAGTCTCGTTATAATTCGTGATTACTCCGATTTTAGCGAACTCAGACGCGCGCGCGCGCGCGCGCGCATGCGCGCTCAAAATTGCTTGTACGCTTGGCAGTGCAGCACGAGAGGAAGACCGCATAATGACTAATATATTAGCTGCATAAATATTCTGTTCTAGCTAGATAGAAATAGGCAAGTGCAGTCGCCGGCTGAGCTAATCTCGAGATCCTATAAATTGCGCCTATATACACAACCTGCCTTTGTTCCACGCGATAAATTCAGGGAACGATCAGCGAGGAGACAATTTCACTTCCGCGCGCGTCGCTGGAATGAATATGTAAACAGGAATTATCATCTCGCTATCACGGGGGGGGGGGAGAGGGGAGGCCCATATCCTGCGGAAGGACAGGTAATTTCTCCTCGTTCCTGATCGGTCCCTGAAGAATCCCTAATAAAGTGGCGTCTACAATACTTAAGACTTAAGATTTAAGCTTTAAGGCGTTAATTCGTGATGTTATTTCCGTTCGTAAGGCGTTCCCGTCTTTTACTTCAGCCTTAACTTGAATCCTCAAGCGAATTGACGAAATTTCAATTCTAACGGCTAAAAATTTATACGCTTAAAGTTGCGCGATATAAAAACCAATCATCGCACTGCCTTTCCATTATTGCCTTTTCTTGCATCTGCTTTCCGACTCTGGATGTTTAATCGTTAAAGCTTAAAGTTATAATCTTACAACGTTTATTTATTGTAGACACTACGATGTGTGTAACTTACGAAGACTTAAGTCTTAATTTGCTTACGGTTTAAGATTTAAAGCTTAAATCTCAAGTCTTAAGTTTCATTGTAGAACGGGCTTAAGTCCTCGTGCTGCAATGCGAGACTGCTATATATATATATATACAAGCGGGTGTATATACCGCGCCTCGACTACCACATATCGACTTCAACGTTCTGATGCGTTATCGAACGACGTGCCGTTTGTTGCGTCGCTGCAGATTAAACCGTTCAGCGGAGAGGCGCGATAAGTGTAAACTGCACAACCACGAAATATATAACGACTCGGATAATATACAATCGACGCCCCGGCGATGTCGACGTTATTGTACGGCCGCTCGAGTCGAAAACGCTCGCAGAAACGTATCCCCGCGAAACTTATTTACAATAGTATAGATGATCGATGAAGGCGTTTCGAACGAGCGAACCGATCAGCTGGGAGGAGAGGCTCCGAATGTAACTTAGTTAGCTTTAAATGTATATAGTGAAGAAATGCACTGCGACACTGCGGCAGAAGCGTCGATAATTTCTAAAAGCCATTTCGGTGAGTCTACTGTTAAGACCAAAAAGATTAGTATATTATATGTGATTATGACACTTCTACTTTTGCACGGAAATTATGTGTCACACACACACACACAATTGCGTTGCACATCTGTGAAATGTTGAATATTACGATTGGAACTCTTATATTAAGTTCAACTGGATATAAGCGCACTCCCAAGCCGTGTCCCCTCGTTCGGGTGTACCTTCGCCCGCGAGCCCGCGCGTTCAGTTATAACGCTTCAAATTGAACAGAAAAAACAACTCGAACTAGTGTTACATAATAAATATGAATACATTATTAGGTATATCCGAATTAGTTTACATACACATTCTACTGCTGGATAGAGAATCTCCCGACCGGAGGGGGGGGTCACCCTATTGTAGGCAGTATTATATTCACTGCAGCTACACTCAGGCATTTTATGCTCTATGTGCCTTATCGCACAACAACTGTAATGCAAATCACAGAATATAATTTGTTAAGCCAATCGACGAACGTTTATCCATTAGCGCCCAAGGATCAAGTGTATATATAAGCGTGTATATATCACTTCTGTGTGTGTTACGTATACACATATATGTATACACGTAGATGTATGTATAATAGCGCGACACACGCACACACACACACACACACGCACGCACGCACAAAACACACACATACACACGCACAAATATACACACGCAAAGAACGATTTTGTTGAAAGGTCTAAAAATTTTGCTGAAATACAGATCTGAAAATAATTTTTGTTCAATAATCAAAATAATTTGTTGGAAAGTTAAAAATGATAGGCATTGCTATATAAAACGTTTTGATATTCTATAGCAATTATTTTGACTTTCCAACAAAATTATTTTGATTATTAAACAGAAATTATTTTCTGATCTGGATCTAGCAAAATTGTTCTTTCCGTGCAGATACACACATAGAAATATACAACATACATGCACACAATACACAACATTCATACACACAAATACAGAACACCCACACACACACGCACGCACGCACGCACGCACATACACACAACACAAATACACATATATGTGTGAATATGTATTACAGAGTAGTCGTGATAAGTGGGATAGATGGGTTGGTAGGTTGAGGTTGTTGATTGACGGACATCCAAGAGACGCCGTTCTGCTCGGATATAAAACAAGAAACGGCGACCTCTAATCAAACTTCAGACGATATCGGACTCAAAAGAATAGGGGAGAAAAAAGCCTGCGCTGACGCAAATCGCGCAAGTGATAACCTCTTTCCTAAATTACACATTTTCCACGAGTCCCTCTCTAACAAATTAGTACGTCATTCCGAGCGAACTTTAACATTTGAAAATATTTATATCGCTGTTTATATATTAGAACTCCGCGCGATAGTGTTACAAAAAATATCGATTATCTTTGATGTTTTTGCTTCTTATAAGCGCTGAAACAGCATTTATGATGTTATGTTTCTACAATTGTACACATAATATTCGTAAAACGTCGAATTCTCTCATCTATACCTGGTGTCTTTATTAAAATATATTTCATCTCATACACTTGTATTCTCGATTTTAATGTTTTAGTGACAAGTGAATTCGTCATTTTATCCTATAGTTTTTTTAATACTACGTTAGAGACAGAATTATAAGAGAGATACAGAGAAATAATTATAAAATCCCTGACTACTATAATGATCAGCATTTAACTCTAGAATACAAATTGATTACGGTTGATTGTGATGTGTTACTGCAATTCTCAATCACATCCGGCTAAGTTTTTTTATGTTGTATAAACATACATTAAAAATTTAAACATTTAATATATAATAAATTAATTTTGAATTGTAACGATAATTAACATATAATGTTATTTTTTTATTATATAAATGTATAATTAAAAATCGTATTGATCCGTATTTCTAGAATTAAAGTATGTTTATGTTAACATAAAACGCTTAACCGTGAATCCTGAATGACCTAGGATGCTACACACGAAAGGAACGATTTTGCTGAAAGATAAAAAAAGTCTGAAAATAATTTTTGTTAGAGCACCGTCAAAATAATAAAATTTTGTTCGAAAGTCAAACTGATTGCCATGGAATATTAAAATTTTTTACAGCAATGCTTATTATTTTCGAATTTTCGACAAAATATTTTGATGGTGCTATAACAAAATTTATTTTCAGATTTTTTTTTATCTTCCAGCAAAATCATTCTCTCCGTGTATCTAAAGTAAATTCACTATATCTCGAAAAGGTGTGTGAAAACGCAGAAGCTAGTGATGGCACATCAACACGAGATCAGGCATTTACGTAACGCTAGGAAAGGCAACGTGCAATTGTTTTAGCGAGGCTCTTTTCGTTGCGCTTAATAACGAGATGCTCGAGAATTTCGCGAGTCCCGCGGTAAGAGGATACTGCAAGTAATGCCGGAATCCTTATCTGACCCAAGGTTGGAAAACGTGAACCACGCACGCATCTCGCCCCTTATCTGCGCTCAGCTGAATCGCAGTATGACACATACGTTATACACATTATCATTCGACTGTGACTAGTCCGAGCCGATAATGCCGTCATTACCGGCCATGCGAGTGTTTTCATTTCTATACCTCTTTTAAAAACGAAAAGTCCGCGCGTGACTAAACCGTTCGAACTTTTATCGTATGCACGACGATATCGTTTTACACGATGACGCATTCCCATCGCTACGTCCTCTTGATACACACACACACACACACACACACACACACACACACACACACACACACACACACACACACACACACACACACACACACACACACACACACACACACACACACACACACACACACACACACGTGGTATATCTAATAAATATGCAGTCGCGACAAACATTGCGCATAAAATAACATTCTCAGCTAGCACTGGCTGTCGCGAGAGACACACGCGATAAATATTCACAGTCCGCGTAATTAAGATAAAAATCACTATATCCTCCTCTAACACGATCGCAATCCCGCAGTATTTTCTACATTGTGCATTATGACATGCTGTCATCATTTCCTGACACTTTTGCCTCGAAAAAAAAACTCACACGTGTTTACAGTTTACTTCATCTAAAGAAGAATCTCGTTTCGTTTGAAATTCTAACTCTGTTTTACGGAGGAGGAAATAATCCCCTCCGGTAAAATCCCGAGGGTAGGAGGGATGGGCGATGGGGGGGGGGGGATGGAAAATTGAGGGAGACAAAGGAAAGCGCCAAACGTTCAGAGGCTGCAAATAATTGTACGATTATTATTTCATACAGGCTTAACAGACAAAGACTTTACGAAGAAGAAGAACGGAGAGACGCGCGTTTCTTTTTTTTTTTGTCAACAAATCGCTCTCTCGACCACGAAATTTCTTCCCGCGTGCAAAGAAGTTTTCGAAGGGAAGAAAAGGGGAGGATTGATTCGCGCGCGGGGGCTGCTCACGATATCCGCGAGGGTCGAAAGTATATATAGGTATATATATATATAAATATAGATAAGACGCGCGGTCACAGCGATTGTTTTCCTATATAATTATCACACATCAGAGCGACGTACGGCCGGGATGCGATTCAAGCCTGGACGAGGTGATGAAAATCGATCGCGATGCCATATCGCGAGCTAAATGCAGTTGACAAACTCGTGTGTGGGGCTAGAGAGAGAAAGGGGGTGGGTGGCGCGATCACGCAGCGGGCGACACTTACCGTCGAAGTATTGGGAGAACAGCACACGGGTGTACGCGGTCATCGCGCTGCCCCAGCTCGGATTCTCGATGTTGTTGCAGGTGCCGTCGATGCTGCGGTACCGGGATGTCCCGTCGCATTCTATGCTGTGCGCCGCGGCACAGGATTCACCGAGCGGGGTGCCCCGCAGGCCCAGCGTCGATATGTAGCGAGCACAGTCGTTTTTGTCCAGGCCGAATCTATATACGGGACAATCAGTGGGATCAGCTGATGTCGGATTGAATGTCAGCTCTTGAGCGAAGAGCTCTGCACGGATTCTCGAAAATTAACAGCCACTCTATAAGTAGCAAGCTGCACGGAAAGTACGATTTTGCTGGAAGGACTAAAAATTTTGCTGCAGACACACAGATCTGAAAATAATCCCTGTTGGACCATCAAAATAATTTTGTTGGAAAGTCAAACTGATTGCTGGGATATCAAAACGTTTTACAGTAATGCTTATCATTTTTCAGTTTCCAACAAAATTATTTTGATGGTCCGATAGAATTATTTTCAGATCCAAATTTTTTGACCTTCCAGCAAAATCGTTCTTTCCGTGTGACATTAATTGTTGTCTAAAAAAACGTTGACATCAAAATGACGACGAATAACATCTCAGCAAACATCAAGTTACATGTTGTAATTTTATTTTCCCATTCAAGAAATATAACACATGCGTTATATTATAATTATATCGTTGAGTGAGAAGTTACAACTGACAAGTACGTTTTATGTAACTTAATGTTTGCTGGGATTAGACAACATAATAGCAACAGATTAATGTCGTGAATTATTAATATTGTAATAAAGTAATATTACAGTAATATATTATAAGATCAATTCACACACGAAAAGAACGATTTTGTTGAAAGGTCTAAAAATTTTGCTAAATATAGATCTGAAAATAATTTTTTGTTGAAATGTTAAATCTGATATCCATCATGCTATAGAATGTTTTGATATTCCAGCAATCATTTTGACTTTCGCACAAAATTATTTCGATTATTGAATAAAAATTATTTTCAGATCTGGATTTAGCAAAATTAATTCTTTCCGTGCACAAGATATTAAATTTAAATGGTTAATAATTAAGGGAGATAGTTCGAATTGACAAAAGAATAAAACTGAAAAGCGCGGCTATCCGTGAAAAAACGCACCTTCGGCAGTTCTGTTCCACGAGATACGACGAGGCCTTCGTCGCCACGATAGCGTTGATGCTCCTGTCGAAAGCATCCGCGGAAGGATAGGAATTCCAGAATTGCTTCTCGGCTGGGCTTCGTGCCTCGAGCTCGACCCCGGCGTTCGCTATATTATTCTCGAGGGTGCTCATGCGGCCGATCAACGTTTGCGCGAACTCGATCGAGTTGTTCATAGTCGCTCCGTCGATCCTGGGAAATCTTCGGTTTTGAAAACGACCGGTGTCTACGATGGCTTCGGAGCCGTAATTAGATGGCAGTCCTGAAAGCGCATCTTCAAAAATATTTCGAAATAATAAATGAAGATGCATAATTTAAGTAACTGAGTTAAAGAACGCGATGGTATGTAAAAATATTCTTTGATTGAACTTTCGTGAATCTATGTTTTCGTGCCGAAATAAACCAGTCAATTCAGCATACCTGGACCGTTTCCAAATATTGCTAAATCGACGCGAAACCAAGGAAGGAGACGAAATTGTGTTGAAATTGTATAAATTTATTTCTTCGAAAACAATGCATTTCTGCAAAACGGTGTAACATGTGACGCAACATTTAAAACAACAATTTAACGCGGTATTAATCTCCAAGATTTTTCCGAAGTCTTCGTGGAATCGTTTATAGAAGTTACACTAAAGTAATCTTACAATTATAGCGAGAATTATTTAGGTACAAAAAATTAGCTAAAACGGATAAGTGATTACAGTAAGCACTGCGATATCACATATGTTTTGTATTTATACACATATGTTTTCAATATAAATAATAGAGACAGAAATTATATCTGAACTATTTGTCAAATTTAGCAAGAAAAAGTTCCTCTATGACGTTAATTAATCAGTCCAGACTCTAATCCAGACTCCAATCATATTTCTGGTTATGAGACCTATATTTTTTTTTATATATTCTTAGAATATTACTGCTATAAATTCGTACGTATGACAATTTTTCAACAAATACAAAAAAAAACAGCGATATAATTTAAGTGTAATATTTATAAATCTAGCTGAAAAACAGCGAAACATTTCCGGCCTGAGTGCTCGGCCATCCATATTTTACGCCGCTTGAAATTTATACCGCTCCGTAAATCCGAGCGGTATTAGACACTTACCGGTGTAACTGGCAAGATAATTCTGCAGAGACTCGGGCAGCTTGTAGGTGCCGATCGAATGGGAGTGACCCAGAAGTCCCATCGTCTGCAGGGACACCCAGAGGATCGCCAGAGTGGCAACGGAGCCCGCCATGACGCCGCCGGCTGCACAAAACCGAATGAACTGACTTAATGTATAAGATCGCCGAGACGCGCTCTCCTTGCATCCCAATACGTGACTCACGCAACGATCGCTCCGCGGTAACTTGCATGCATGCGCGGCGCAAGGAGAGCGACGTGCGACTCTCTCGTCGACGCGAATGAAAATGTTGTATTAATATCGCGCGGCCCGTCCCGAAAGGATGTCACCACACCTCGCTCTTGGCACCCGTCCCGTTAACAATGCCAGATATATATGTACACACATGTGCATGAGTGATCGTTGATCAATGCTAAGTAAAAGATACTCCATCATTGTTTTACTACGTAAAGAAACAGAAGTTTTACTATGGAAAGAACGTTTTGCTGAAATATCTTAAAGATAAATACAGTCAAACCTCTATAACGATAACTCGAACCTCTATAACTCAAAAACTACTCGAATTTTTTCTTTTAAAAGTCATTAATTATAATCGAAAAATTATAAACTCTCGTACAAAGTTTCTGTAAGTCAAATTTTTATGTTAATTCTGTTTTACTCAAACTTTGGTAAATCTAAATTTATAATTCGAAGATTTCTTTATTTCGCTTGAAATTCGAGTTATTGAGGTTCGACTAATAGCTAATAATAGCTAGATACAGATCTGAAAATAATTTTGTTGGACCGTCCAAGTAATTATGCAGAAGCTTAAACATTGATGATGAAGCTGCAAAAAGTTTTGTCATTCTGGCAACTAGCTTCAGCTAGAAATGAATAATATGTACACTGCAAATCCAAGTGTGTGTACTGTAGCCATTTTTTACGCATTTATACGCATGCTATATTTTTACACATTTTATCTATGTTTTACACAATTAAATGCATATTTTTACACGCTAAATTTTACAATAATATGTATAAGCGTGTAAAAAATATGCATTTAACTGTGTAAAACACAGATAAAATGTGTAAAAATATAACACGCGTATAAATGCGTAAAAAGTGACTACAGATTTGCACACTTGGCAGTATAGCTAATAGTTAGATACAAATCTGAAAATAATTTTATTGGATCGTCCAAATAATTATGTAAAAGCTTAAACATTGATGCTGCAAAAAGTTTTGTCATTCTAGTAACCAACTTCAGATATTAATAATAGCTAGATACAGATCTAAAAATAATTTTGTTGGACCGTCCAAATAAATATGTAAAATGATTAAACATTGATGATGATGCGCAAAAAATTTTGTCATTCTAGCAACCAGCTTCAGCTAGCAATTAATAACAGCTAATAATAGCTAGACACAAATCTAAAAATAATGTTGCTAGACAATCGAAATAATTATGTAAAATGCTTAAACATTGATGATAATGCTGCAAAAAATTTTGTCATTCTAGTAACCAACTTCAGCTAGAAATTAATAATAGCTAATGCCTAATAATAGCTAGATACAAATCTGAAAATAATTTAGTTGGAAACCGTCGAAATAATTATGTAGAATGCTTAAACATTGATGATAATGCTGCCAAAATATTTTAACATTCTAGCAACCAGTTTCATCGTCCCACACAATTATTTTAATGATTTAACAAAATTATTTTAAAATCTAATTTAAACTTCTAAATTAAATTTTAATTTTAATTTTATTTTATTTTAATTTAAACTTTAATTCTAAATTAAATTTTTAGATACTTTAACAAACCCGTTCTTTCCGCGTACAAATTTGTTGTCATACAATACATTATCATATTTTCATTGCACATCGTCAAATGTGCTCGATAATCAGACCTTGATTCTTATCTGACCTTGACATTAAACGTGATTTTTGTATCATTCGAAAAAATTAAAGATAATAAAAAAAAATAGGATTCCATGGGAGAGAATCCTTAATATCATTAAATTTATTAAATAATTTTACATAATAAACAAATGTTCATTTTCAGTTCAAATTCAGTTTTTAATTTGAATCCTCTAACCATCCGATATAATCATATTGGTTTCGTCTAACGCATTTACAGACACGCGCCCACGTATACGTGTATCTGATATCAAAATAGATTTCTATTTTCTTATTCGTAAGGTAAAAATATCCCTCGTATCTTCACTGAAATGTTAAGGTTCTTATAAGAAAATACCATTATTATTTATACTTCAAAGAGGTTTCTGCCAAGTTTATATAATCGAAATGCTGCTCTATCGATCTGTACCGATTTAATGAAATTTACTGAAGAAAATTGCCGAAAATTAGACATAAAAGAAAACATTCTACAGATTGTATAGAAAATATTCTTCGGGTGTGTCGTGTAGTGTGCTTCTCGAGACATTAAATTATGCAATACGATGCAAAATCGTACAGGAATCAGCTGACCTCGTTGAACTCGTAACGAAGCACATTAGCATCTCCCATTGCATCCAATAACGATGACACTATATCAAATAAAAATGTGAATGTTTTCGAAGACGGCACGCAAATCTTATATAGATTTCAAAAATATGCGTAATTTCAGTGAAGAATTACAGATACGAAGAAATAGAAATATATATTACTCGTCGGATGGCAGTGCAGCCAAGTTTTGGGCAATCAACTGACATGCATTAAAATGTACGAATGGTTACATTTTGCTTCCGCGCCGAGCAGCAAATTCTTTAAATTGATGTTCCTCCGCGACCTTCGCGCTAGTACTCCCGGTTATTTATAGACCGCGTTTTAGCGGGACTATCAGCGAAATATGCTATGTGCTGTTTGTGTGTGTGTGTGTGCTCGTGTGTGTGCAGTTCGTACTTCGTATCCGTATCTCGTTAATGTGGTAAACACGCACCCGGCGCGGTTGTTCACGCGCATCACACATGGCCAGATACAGCTAGCTCTATTCGTTATCACGTTGATGCTGCGTTTGCTTACAGGCGCACGTAGCGTTTTGACGGGACAATAAAACTTTAAGATTTTCACTTGCTGAGTATCAGAAGTCGAAATCAAATTAACGATTAATATTAATGTTTCATTGATAAATTTCTGAAATTTTTTTAAGACAATTTTAATTATACGATAATATTATAATTCTCTATATATTTTTTTGTACATATATAAACTGGAATAATCCAAAGGTAATGTTTAAATCCCTCACTCGATGGATGCGATCGTTGGATGTTTGAGAGAATTAATGCACGGAAAGATTAAAGATTTTGCTGAAAGATCTAAAATTTTGCTGAATACAGATCTAAAAATAAATTTTGTTGAACCAACAGAAAAATTATGTTGAAATATCAAAAAATTTTGACATTCTAGCAACTTGTAGTTTCCAGTATAATTTTTTTAGTGGTCCAACAAAATTTCAGATCTTTTTGTTCTTTCCATGAGTCTAATTTCTATAGAAGGTAATTTAGGGAACGAAACTTTGCTTTCAGACAAAAGTATCTTGCGGTATTTTTTAGTTCGGAGCTTAATCCGAGTGCTTCCAAGTGAGAATCTGAATAACTTTTAAATGATAGAAAGCGTTTGGGTGAGAAATCCGAACGCACCTTTGAAAGAGAGCTGAAAGAGAAAAAAAATAAAGTAACGACGAGCGCAAAAATTACTCCCTAGAGATTAAAAAATAATTTCTCCTGATGTAAACGTATAAAGAGCATTATATGCACTAATTTTATTAAGCAATATTAATTTGAACTAGACCATGTAAGTGAATAACTGCACAAATAAATTTGAAAGCGCCTTTTCGGCCGGTCACGTCTGGATCTTGGTGTCTAATAAATTCTATATGAATTTTTAAATCTATTATTCATTATTAAATTTCTGATAATATTCATTAAATTATGTACTATTGCGATTTTAAGCTCGTTGGCTTTTGATTCTATTGATAGACAGTTGAAATGTGCTTCTCACAGTTATTTAATCCTGGCACGCACGGCTTTTTCCGACTTTTTCTTATTGTTCCGAACTTAGAAGCGATTGTACCGAAGAAATCTTACTTTTATATTATAAAATTCGCGAGAAATATTATTATATAAAAATAACTTAATTCGACAATTTTATGCAATAATTATTATTACAACTTACTCGCGTACGTGATGTGATTACTTGTAAGGGACTCGTCGACAAACTGCCGCTGCGGTCGAAGAGTCCTTTATTTATATCGACAAAATAGAGACGTCAAATTCTTAGGACTAATGAATCATTGGAAAAACTCGTCGCTATGTAAGATAGCAAACTCAATGACTTTTTTACCTTATAATATTATTCTAACCTTAGATAAACATATACACGTACTACATTATTATCTTAAAAAGAATAGACGGACCACTTGCCTATACTTTTAAGATAACAACATTTATATTCGTCTAAGAGGTCCATTTTCAACAATATTTTTACAATACGGTCCGTTACTGCGTCCGTATACGTGACATGTATGCAAGTCGTAGTTACCTGACGCGCGACATCATCCGTACAGTATAGGTCTTTTCTATACACGTGTCTATACCGCGAGCGGCGCAAATCAGCGTGATTACAAATGCAAGACGTCCACTCACGAGACACGTGAACAGCAATGATGGCGTCGCTAATATTAGCATACTGTAGTAAACAGATTCCAGCTAGCTCACTATGGAATGACTAAAATAAAAAAGTGATCGCGTTTTCTCTAGATTTTCTTCAGATATATGTGTTTTACGATATGTGATTTACGGCGCGTGACGCGAATTCGTTATTACGCGATCGTTATAATCCAATAAGGTATACGTATACTTATTTATCGTATAACCTGGTGCACCACACGTGGATCTGAGGGATCCAGTCTTTTCATCGGGGCCGGTCTCACCAACGCCGATTAAGTTGATCGATTACATTTAAGAGTAGCTAGCTGCTAAATTAAAAATTTATCATCTCTAAGCTATAATTCCTTATTATCTTAATTTCTTATCATCTCTATATAGGCCTATAGAAATTATAGCTTATTGTTAGAGATGGTGAATTTTTAATTCAACCACCCAGCAAACACAGATTATAACTACAATATTGCAGTAACAATGTAATATTTCTGCAATATAGCTGGAATATTACAATGTTGCTGCAATATTAAAGTTATAATCTTTGTGTTTGCTAGATAATTTATTATTATCCACACTATATCTTTTTTTTACCATCAATAGATTAAGAATTAAGACAGATTTTGAAGTTTTGCTGCTGTTGGCAATTTTTCATGACATCGGCTTTTTAGAAATTACATTAATCAGAATTGGTGACGACCGACCTGTAATGCTCAGGAAAATTATTATCATTGCATTGTATTCTGTTGCATACAACAGAAGAGATAAAATATTTGTGTTATTATCCTATCCCTCACTCCCACCCCCACCCTCCCGATTAAATGAGGTACCCCACACCCAGAAAATTCAAAAGTCTCCGTCCCTTCTGCGTTTAAAATAAAGCACTTGGGAAAAGAACGCTGAAAACGTAGTCAGCGACGGTGATCTACATTTACTGAAATGGTATCTCGAGAACTCGAGACATCCTGACCCGGCGACACTACTAACGTTCCTTATCCGATAGGTTACACGCAGAAAACGGATTAGGAAATGAAGCTAAAATATAGTTATGGCAGCTAAGGTGTGTCGTTAAAATAGGGACAGCAAATGTCGTTGCTGCCGAAGTTCAATTTATTAGTTATTAAAATGTAGGTGCTACAGCAAAAAATGTTTGCTGCTAAAATCAAATAATATTTAGCTGAACCTACTATGCTATTTTATCTTGATAATAGAGATTAATATTATTTACAGTATATAGCTCATATACAGCAAAATATAAATGCGCTGTAGATGTGCATATGACAGTGCCAAATTGCAAAAACAATTACAAATCAAATTTTCACGCGTAACTGTTAACTTAACTCTGTGTGCTGAATGTGTGCATGATAAGACATTTAGATACGCGTACCATTTTTTTAGCCGCCTGTACTAATAATATGCTTTTAATTTCAGTTAATAACATTTTTTGCCACAGTAAATGTTTTTTATCTGTAATAGCCAGAACCTAGCACTATAAGGCGGTAGCATTTTATTAGCTAAGTTTGATTCAGCTATTGAAATTTAGCTACTCAAGTCACTTTTTTGCGTGTACTTGCGAAGTGCATGATTGACAAATGTTTACCGGACACATGATCCATGGGCTTTTCTAATCCGTGCATCGCGTAGACCCAACGATTGTTGTCGACTGGTGCGATGAGAAACATCCTCCGCGGTGCGGCCTGCAGATATAACGGCGAGAGACGGCAGTATCTTTCTTGATTCACGAATCAATTAACGATCGCCAGTCGCACGATCATTCGCGCGCGCAGCTCTGTTCTATTTCATCAATTTTCGCGAATTTACCGGCGGATACGAAATTGCGAAACTCGCGACAGTCGCGACGATCGCGTCACTTAACAGTTCGTTAGCACACCTGGCCGTCACAGGTGTGTTCGCGAGGAGAGACCGACAAAGACGCACTTCGACGACGGCGATGTACAACGCGACGGAGTTTCGCGAATACACAGAGATTCCCCTCTCACCATTTCCTCCTCCTGATTCGCTCGCTCGCCGGAGAGCGCGCCTTTCTGCTATCTCATTCATTCATTTATCCAAGCGCCTCTGTCTCACTCCCTCTTTTATCTCAGGGTCGGCGTGAATCGATCTGCGAATTGGAGTATTGACCAGAACTAATAACACACTCGACTATCCGAATACTTGAATACGCTGCCTCGACGTGTGCGAGTAATACCCGGGTATCCGGATATTACTCGAGTATTAACTGTACTATCTAGGTAATAAGGATAATCCATATATTTCGGAAAACATATCACCAAAAATAAAAGTCAGTAATAGATTTAAATCACGCAAATCTAATAATTTTTGACGATGGACTAATAATTTAGCCGGATGGATATGCAGATGATTGTACGCATTATAAAATTTCAAATATTCAAATTCAATATTCAACCATCTCTCTCTAGAGATACTTCCGTCAATAAAATGGGCATTTAAATGATTCAATTTGAATATTTGAATGAAGTTTTGTATTGCGGACGAGCACCTGCGCGTCCATCGGGGCAGCTGATTAATCAATTGTTCAAAATGATTTAAATGATTTAAATCTTTTATCTGACTTTTATTTTTGGGCGACAAAGATCCCAGTCCTGATACATCCTAGATACGTTACTGAAGATCCACAAACATATTGCCCATCTTACTTCCTCTCGCGCTTTTCCATATACCGTACTCGTTTCCTCATACACTTAAATCCGCTCAATTCTCTCTCTCTCTCTCTCTCTCTCTCTCTCTTGATCACGTGCACACGTTACGCACATTGATTCCTCAAAGGTTTCTCCATCTCACTCGCACCTTCGCTCTTTCCATTCATTTCGCTTTGCACGATGACTCGTTCACGTTTCCATTGGCTCGCTGCCTCCCTACCCAAGAGCGAGTCACCTTATTTAACTTGGAAAAAAAAATTCTATCACTCGGTGAGCACGTGCTCGTCCACCTCCGTCCCTCCACCGAGCGGCTCGTTGCATGCCGGCTCGCAGAGCGTTGCCGTTAAGTTCTCGCGTTTCTTCCCTTGGCAATATATACCTAAAAATTTTTTCATGCGCATTCTTTTATCAGAAAGAATACAATCGAGAATTTAAATGTAAGATATTTTAAAAAATTCGAATGAGGTGTCTAAAAGAATTTAATCCAAATCGCTTCTTGTGCCTTTTTTACATATCCTATAGTAATTAACATTTTCTTGCAATCACAATAATCCAACCAAATTCTCTATTTATTCATCATTATTGATCTTCAGCTTATAATTAAGAAATTTTCTTTTATTATTATTATTGCATTTTATACTTAAAATTGCGAAAGTATTTTAAATTTGCTAATGTTCTTACTCAAATCAAACGCGTTAATGTCAAATTATGAATCTTATCTTAAAACAGAAGCGACGGAAATGATAGAAGATAGTGGTTGAGGACTTTTATATGCCAAATTTTTCTTTTGTTTTCAACGGAATACGTCATTTATCATGGATAAGATTTTGCAAACCGACTTTTGATAACGGTAGATACATAATAACAACTCTATACGACATCATTTCTAATTAAAGACACACAAAAAAGGTTTTTAACCTTTATGTTTCTATACATATATCGCTCATTTGCTACAATAATGGCGTCACTCAATGAGGAAAGTTTTCTAGAAAATAAGTTTCAATGTATGTTTTGAATCATTCAAATTTTATAATTTTAATTTTGAAATATAATTTTGATATAATAACTAAATAATTTATATAGTTGAGGTAAATATGTATAGTTCTTTTAAAGTATATTTTCTTTCTTGTTCTTTACATTTCCGTTCTTTTTCTGCAAGCAACTAAAAGATGACAATTTTTGAGTGATTATTATTCGTCATTATTATCAATAAGTGATACGATTTAGGGTATCAATTTATCGTCAATGTTCTTATGAAGAGACTTGTAGGTCTTCTGCCACTTCCGTGCAATCCTCTGCAGGTCCCCCAGTACTTTTCCACTACTTTCGCCGTAGAATATATAGGGTGTCCCACAAAATGCATACTCGCATATAATATTGTCGGTTAAATTGTAATGTATTTGTATTTGATGGAATTTGTATTTGATGAAATTTTTCTTTGACAAAATAGGACCGCCGGTACGCGTGTATTTTTATAGTCTTGATAAACAAACGGTAAGAATAGCATAGCAGCATGCTTTTAAAAGAAGATAAGTTCAACGACGCTTCTAGATTTGGCACTGTGCGCCAGCTCCGCTCGCGTATAACATCCTCGCGTGATTGGCTTAACGAGCCCATAATTAAATTGCAGATACAATTTGTTAAATAACTGTCGAGTGATTTGCATGTAAAGCAGCACTCGGCGCGCATGAGATTTGCGCTTATGTTTGCGCGTGTGTCATGTGCAGGAGCCACAAAGGTACGATTAAAGAGGGCATACATATCATTGCCAATAAAAGAATGACAGCACGTATATAAAGTTCTGGCACTCATTCGATTAAGCAGCGGGCCTTGATGATGAAAACTGTTAAGGTTAACCCGAGGGAAGTTTATATAAAGAACCAACCGATCGATATTATATTTACGTTACAGACAAAGGTGTATAACGATTGAACGAATGGCATTGCGTATTTTAGTGTTCTATTTATAATTTTATTTGTATTTTTTTAGAATACTTTTATATGTATATATGTATATAAACACAAGACAATGCCGGATTTATCTCTGTATATGACACAAGCACGATAAATGATTCGGTGAACCTTGCCGATAACGTTAATAAATATTTGCACTTCGTTTTATCTTCTGATTGACAATAAAAAATAAAGATATATTAATAAAGATAATCGGATAAAGATAATTGGATAAAGATAATTGGATAAAGATAATCGGATAAAGATAAACCAGCCGATTCAATCAATCGTAAGATAATTCAGTCAATTATAAGATTTCTAAATTTTTTCTCACATTTTTCATTCGAATCCTGATTTAGATTAGATTATAGCAAATTGATCAAAAAGCGATAATTGTTCTCCCCCCGCCTCTCCCCCCTCTCTCTCTCTCTCTCTCTTTATGCAAAAAAACTTAGTAATAGTAGCTAAATTTCAATAGCTGAATCAAACTTACAATTAGCTATAAGAGCTACCGCCTCAGTGTCATTGCTAAATTCTGTCTATTACAGATAAAAAACAATCACTGTAACAAAAAATTTATTAACTGAAATTAAAAGCATATATATTAGTACAGGCTAAAAAAATGACATGCGTACCTAAATGTCTTAAGGTCCATCCACAATGAGAGTAGTAATTCGTAAGCCGTAAGAAATTGATCAATCACAGTCGATTATTTTTTTCATATTTGACTGTAATTAGTCAATTTCTTACACCGAAAAAAGTAATCTTGCAATTATAGCGAGAATTATTTAGGTACGAAAAATGAGCTAAAACGAATAAGTGAATAGTAAGCACTGCGATACCATATATGTTTTGTATTTAATCAATATAAATAACAGAGGCAGAAATTATATCCGAACTATGTGTCAAATTTAGCAAAAAAGTTTCTCTATGACGCTTAATCAGTCCAGACTCCAATCATATTTGGTTATGAGACCTATATTTTCTTGCATATATTCTTAGAATATTGCTGCTATAAATTCTACGTATGACAGACAATTTGTTAGCAAATACAAAAAACAGCGATATAATTTAAGTGTAATATTTAGAATTCTAGCTGGAGCAGTGAAACATTTCCCTGAGTTATGGCTTACGACTTACTACTCTCATTGTAGATTGACCTTCATCATGCACACATTTAGTACACAGATCTAAGTTTATAGCTACGCGCGAAAATTCGATTTGTAATTGTTTTTGCAATGTGGCACTGCCATATGCACATCTGTACAGCGCATTTAGCGCATTTATATTTTGCAGTGTGTAAGCTATATATACTGCAAATATTATTATTCTACTGCGAAGATAAAATAGCATAGTATAAAGATTCGGCTAAATATCATTTGATTTTAGCAGCAAATACTTTTTGCTGTATAGCACCAACATTTTATAATAACTAATCAATTGAACTTCAGCCGCAACGACATTAGCTGTCCCTACATTTTAACGACACATCTTAACATGCCACAGCCATATATATTTTAGCTTCATTGACTAATCCTTTTTCTGCGTGAATTGCTTTCAAAATCGGTGGTTACGGCTCGGCAACTATAATCGATGGGAGTATCCCGGAAAACCTTTTCGTTGCGATGAACTCGCGTCGCGTCGAGTCGCGGGAGTGCGGGAGTGCTTACCTAGGTACGACCTCTTGCAACGCTCTACTCGTAGATAGTTGTTCCTCAGGCAGTCGAACACCTCAACGCCCATCTTTTTTTTCCCCCTGGAGTAAGAATACGTCGAGCGAACCGCGCGGAGAGCCCTAGGCTTGCTCGCGGATCGTCGCGGATCGTCGTCGGCGGACCGAGGCTCTCCTCTCGCGAGGACACGTCGGCACGCACCGGGCTCTATATACGTGCTATATGTATATAGACACGTCGAATATCCACCCCGGATCAATATACCCGGATATATCGGCTCGCGCCGCGAAGCTTCCCTCTTTTCACGCGCCCCTTTCCGCGCACCTCCGCGGAACACCTCGCGGACAAATCACTTGGACATTAAATCCGACGTGGAATTTCGCGAATTTTTCTCGCGTGTCGAATTAAATGTAAACGCACACCGTCCGAGTACTCCGAGTCACGGAGCAGCTGATCCTGCGCCGCCTCGAAACACCCGAAATCTCTCCCACCTCCCTACTCTTGGTTCCGCCGGGCAGGTTTTTCATCCCTCATTGGCGCATGCGTCAGTGCGAAATGCGTAGATGCGCACTCGTCCTTTACTTACGTTGATACGTTCAATGGGTAAATTTTACTCAATGGATACGTTATTCGTGTCGAAGATGTCAATGTCGTGATGCTAATCGTGTGGATATAGAAGACTATGTCACCAAAATCATTGATTTTAATAACAGATTCTTTGATTAATTTCGAATCGAAGCTGCATTAATGAAAACAAAACATTAATGATTTTAAATTATGAATTAAAAGATTTTATCTCTTAATATGGTACATGTATATTATTATATATAATGAAATTTTTTTAGAATGCAATTTAAATAAGATTACATATTAATTTCTTAAA